AGGAAAGCGAAGCAGTGGCGTCCGGCGACGGGGCGACGGCGAAAGCACCAAGGCTAAACAAAGCAAGGGATCCTACGCCTGACGCAGCAGGGGAGGCTAAGCTAGGCACACCTACACTAGACGACAGTGAGTAATAAGCGGGAAGCACACTAGAGTCATCAGCATACATCACATGCAGAGCAGAAACAATGGCATCCATGTCCATGTCAAAAATCTGAATCCTACGACTAAGCAAACTGTGACAGGCCGGGAGGTCTAGCGACTGGCCGAAGCGCTGGCGAAACAGGTTGTCCAGGCGACGAAAACAGCGGGGAGTGGTATGACCGAGCTTACCACAAACGAAGCCGCGGCGAGGACCGGTCTGGATCTGGTACTGTCAACGCACGCCTCCCGAACCACCACTCTGCACACAACCACGCGCCCGACCACCTCCAGCGCCAGGCCACCCGAGCGGGAGGACACTCGCCTGCCTCGTCTGCGGCGGCTGCTGCGGCTGCTGCGACTGCTGCGACTGCTGCGACTGCTGCGGCTGCTGCGGCTGCTACTGCTGCTGCTGCGACTGCGGAGGCGGCGGCTCAGCTGGACCGGGCAGCGTCCCCTCGTCCGCTCCAGCACCAGACGACCCGACTCCACCACCACCCCCTCCTGCACCACCGCCTCCTCCGCCGCGCCCAGCCTTGGGGCGACGGCCCTTCCCCGAACGAAGCTGCGCTGCAGCAGCAGTCTCAGCCACAGCGACAGAATCGTCGGAGAAGGTACACTGAGCGTGGGCACAACCCTGAAAGATAGGGACCGGCACGGTACCGCTCGCCTGGGCGATGGAGCGGTGGCGGGTCTCAATAACAGTCAGGGTGTCTACAAAGTCGGGGAGGGTGAGCTCACCGGGGTGAATGCTAAGGAAGCTGTCACGAGCAGCGGCAAGGCGGCCATGGAGGCGGGTGGCAAGCAGGTAGAGGGTAGAGGTAAGGGGCGGCTGGTGGGCTCTAAGCTGTGCGTCAGTGCAGGCAGCGCGCCAGGTCTCATCTTTCGAGCGCAGGTGGGCAGCTACGTCAGAGACAGTGGGGAAAGACGCAAGGTCGGGAAAGAGCATCGGGAGGATCAGGCGACCCATCGAGGTAGCTGGAGGGGTGGAATAGCGCTTGATGACAGCATCTAAGTAAGCCTGGGCGGTAGTGATGGACCTAAAGCGAGGGCGCTCAGACGGGGGAAAGGCATTGCTAATGGCAAGCTGAGCGACAGCGTCTCGGGAAAGCCGGACAGAGTGCGCAAGGGTAGTGGCTGCAGTAGACTCGCGCTCAGCGGGTGTGGGGTCAGCGGGCAGCACAGCAGGGGGGTCTGGGCAGGGGAGTGTAGCGTCAAGGTGTGCGGAAAGCGGGTGGCCATCCTGCCGATGGCCAGTGAGGTGGCGACGGAGGTCGGCGAGCCACGCCTCGAAATCCAGAGGCTGGCCTTCAGCGTCGAAGCGAAGCTCCGCTGCCATCAGGAGCAGTGCAGGACTGTACAGTGCGGTGCAGTGCGGTACAGTGCGGTGCAGTGCAGTGCATTGCGGTGCAATGCGGTGCAGTGCGGTGCAGGGCGGTGCAGTGCGGTGCAGGGCGGTACCGTGCAGTGCAGTGCGGTACAGGTGATGGGGAACCGTACCTGGGAGGATGCAGGGCCGGGGCAGGGACGACGAGCGGGCCGCACACAGCTCGGGGCAGGACGGGCGTGGGGGCCGGAAGCAGCGGGCACCAGGCCGACGGGACGGGCGCGGGGCCGGCTGGGACAGGTGCAGGGGCCGAGCAGACGGGCGCGGAGGTCGCCAAGGCGGGCGCGGGGCCGGCGGGGACGGGCGCAAGGCAGGCGCGGCGGGGCCAGGCAGGCGCGGCTGGGCCAGGCAGGCGCGGCGAGGCAAGGCAGACGCGGCGGGGCCAGGCAGTCGCGGCGGGGCCAGGCAGGCGCGGAGGGGCCAGGCAGGTGCGGTGGGGCCAGGCAGGCGCGGTGGGGCCAGTCAGGCGCGGCGGGGCCAGGCAGGCGCGGCGGGGCCTGGCAGGCGCGGCGGGGCCAGGCAGGCGCGACGGGGCCAGGCAGGCGCGGCGGGGCCAGGCAGGCGCGGCGGGGCCAGGCAGGGCGCGACGGGGCTGGGCAGGGCGCGACGCGGCCAGGCAGGCGTGGCGGGGTCAGGCAGGCGCGGAGGGGCCAGGTGGGTGCGGCGGGGCCAGGCAGGCGCGGCGGGGCCAGGCAGGCGCGTTGGGGCCAGGCAGGCGCGGCAGGGCCAGGCAGGCGCGGCGGGGCCAGGCAGGCGCGGCGGGGCCAGGCAGGCGCGACGGGGCCAGGCAGGGCGCGACGGGGCTAGAAGGCGTGACGGGGCCCAGGAGGGGCGCGACGGGGCCCAGAAGGGGCGCGACGGAGCTAGGGGGGCGCGACGGGGCCCAGGAGGGGCGCGACGGGGCTAGGGGGGCGCGACGGGGCCCAGGAGGGGCGCGACGGGGCTAGGAGGCGCGATGGGGCCCAGGAGGGGCGCGACAGGGCTAGGAGGCGCGGCAGGGCCCATGAGGGGCGCGACGGGGCTAAGAGGCGCAACGGGGCCCAGGGGGAAGCGGCGAGGCCTAGCTAGGGTACGGGTGGAAGCAGTAGGTGGGGGATCCTAACCTACGCATGATACCATGTCAATGTGAGAACTGAATGATTGAGTAGAGAAAGAGTACAGGTGAATATACCTAAGTGTTGTACCCTCTAAGAGGTGGCCCTATACAGTCTATGCAAACATAGGAGATACACATGTTTGACAACCGTCCCCTGTGCCTTCCTCTGTTTCCTCCTCGACTCGTCGGACTGGCAGTTCTACCACCCGCTGTCTCACCGTTTCATTCACTCTCGCGACGTCACATTTCACGAGTCCTCGCAGGGCTACTGCTTTAGCCTTGGTTCAGGTGCCGTCTCGTGGAGGTAGGGAAGTAGGTGCGACCGGGGGAGGGGGGACCAGGAACAGGGGGGGAGTAACCGGGGGACCACGGTGGGAAAAGCGGTGGTAGAAGGAGACGGACTCGTCAATGGTGACGTCGCGAGAGTGAAAGAAACGGTGAGACGGCGGGTGGTAGAAGTGCCAGTCAACTCGAGAGGGAATCCAAGGAAGACACAGGGGATGGTGCAGGCAGTGAGCTTGTCCGTGCCACAGGCACGAACGTGAGCAATGCAACCCCAAACGTGGAACGCATACGCGTCACAAGAGGACCCGGTCTAGAGAAGGGTCGGCGAAACCTACGGCTGCTGGGGGTGCGGCCACAGGTTAAGCTGGTGGACGGCGTAGCGAACGGCGAACGGCCACAGAAAATGGGGTGCACCGGCATGGATCATGGAGGTACGAGCTACCTTCTTGACCAAACCGATGCGTCGCTCAGCGACCCCATTCTGCTGCGGGGAGTCCGGCAGGGTGAACGTCTGGGTGATGCCCTCCTACGACAGAAACGACCAAGGACGCCGGAGGCAAACTCACCTCCACGGTCGGAGTCAGGGCCTCAGATTTCAGGCAAATTTCCCTGATTCAGGGTTTTTTCAGAGGTTTTTTCGGTACCGACCCTGAAGTGCCAGGATTTTTTTTCCCTTAACCCTGATAAATCAGAGTGTTTTTATAACTGAACTCTGTTTGACCAGCGTAACAACGGTAGTGGGCCCTGACTGTTACAGCCTAGAAACGGGGACCTGCCCTGTTTCCAGTAATAGGCCCCCACCCCCCCCCCCCCCGAGATTCCCATATGTTCCCCGTCAGTCACGCCGAGCCGATCAGTTTCCCACCCAAATCTGCGTCGTGGTGGTGAGTTTTCCGCCAGCACATAATGTGCTGCGGCTAAGGGATTGGGCGACGAGTGTTTGACAGAATGTGCTGTCGCTAGCATAGAGCGTGACTGCGTGACGTGGTTGGACACCAAGAAATCAAAAGTATAGCAACCAATAGAGAACTGGCAACTTACAGCAACCTTGCATTTTGCTGCCATACTGATGTCACTATCGGTGTGCACAGCATCTTGCCTGCCAGCACTGCGTTTACGACAAGATTCCTCATGAACCTTGCCTAGCATGCAGGCAAGGTCACCGTGCCGCGCCCCGATCCATTCCCACAAGCTACCCCCATCTGGTTCATCTTCATCTTCAACGGTTGTTATACTTGCCTATCTCCCCCAGTTCCTTCGTTCCTCGAGTAGCCATTTCCTCTTCAATTGGTAGTTCCTCAAAAGCTGTGTCTCACCCCGTCATGGGAGAGCCAGTCGACGGGGAACTGGCCGATGGTGATGCAGATGATGGCCAGCGTGCGGACCTCACCACTTGCCTGGACCTGTTGCTCTCGACTTTATCTAGCCTTACGCGCATGCCTCTTAGAGGAACCACACGTCTCGGCCAGGAAGAACCAGACGAAAAAACCGCCGGCGATTCCGTATCTGCTGCAGTCATAGAGCATGACCCTAATCCTAAGCCCGATCCCTCCACGCCTGCTCCTGCCGAGCATCTGTCGCCCACGGTTGGACCTGCTAAGCGCCCTGGGCGCTACCGTCAGGCTGTTCTCCCATTCGCACGGCCCAAACAGGCTAGCGAAGTGTCTCCACCGTCCAACCCCGCTTCCGATGATGCTGAGTCAGAGGACGACACGCCGACGACTACCAAGAAGGAGAGAACCCCGACTGAGCAGTATGCAGAGGCGCTCAGTAAATACAAGAAAAAATGGAGCGACGCTTTTCCTTGGCTTTTGCTTGTCAAGACTGAAGAAGGCCTCCCGGCCTTCAAGTGTCAGTTGTGTATGGACCATGCAGGTCTCTCAGGGAAGAGCGGACGCCGTGGCCCTGGTCTCTCGGACGCCCAGACACAAGCCTTCACCAGACACGCTGGCACTGGGAAGCATCGTCTCGCCTATGGAAAGCAGGCTGCTCTGTTGCAGGAGGCAACGACGCAGACGAGGATCGACCAGAATCCCCGTGCCGCTGATCTTGAGAAGGAACGGCTGACGGCGCTTCTCGATTCTCTCTACCTCTGCTGCAGGACGAACAAACCGATGGAGACGTGGATCACATTTGCACGCTACCTCGCCTCTCGGTTCTACAAAAACGTCCCCGAGGAAGGTTACGGCACCTACCTGAACTCGTGAGTCGTCAAATTGAATGTCTGGTCCTTGATGTTTTTTAATCCGACTACCCTAACTTATTTTGTTTTTTCCGGTTGTAGGTACGGCTTCGGAGAATTCACGCAGGCCACGGCTACATGGCTTCAGACAACTCAACTGGAGCATCTTCTGCGGAGCCCGTTCATCGGTCTCAGCCTGGACGAGAGCACGGATAGGTGCCGGGGGAAGCACATGATCGTGTTCGCGACCTTCCTTCGTGAGCGTCGGGTGGTCACGGAGTACCTGGCTCTTCTCACTGTCGACAAGGCGGACGCTGCCTCCCTTCTGGCGTTGCTGCTCTCCCACCTCCAGGCTATCGGAGTGGATCTTCATCGGATCTCTGGCATCAGCACTGACGGGGCAGCAGCGATGATGGGCGCGAAGTCTGGACTTGTTACTCGTCTCCGACTGCGCATTCCTCACCTCGTCTCCTGCCACTGCATAGCGCATCGGTAACCATGTGGCTTTTTGCATTCGTATTTCGGCCTGGCGAGTAGCCATGTATATATTGCCTTGTCTAACTCTCCCTTATACTGTTCATGTTCTGTGCACGTCTATGCGCAGTAAGGCTCTGGCCGCCAAGACCGCGGCCGATGAGCTCCCCGCCTTCATGATGATCGACAATGTCATCCGAGAGCTCGCTGAGTTCCTCGGACGCTCGGGGCCGTGGCATCAACGCTTTCTCGAGCTGCATGATGTCTTCCTCTCGACGGCGCTTGAGCTGCAGGGTATTCACCACGTTAGGTGGCTTTCCCGCGGGGATGCCATCCAACGGTTGGTGAAGGTTTTGCCGGCAATCATCGTCATGCTGTCTGAGTTCCCAAACGATAGGCTGTATACCATTGTTACCAGCTATCGTTTCTGGTTTCTCTTGATGTTTCTGGCGGATGTGCTTGAGCAGATGAACACGCTCAACAAGATCTTCCAGGCTCGTCAGGTAAAGTTAATGTGTGTCTTTGCTTAACTGTTGGACTGACATATTTCCATGCCTGACCTGTGTGCACCACCCCCTCCTTGCAGCTGGACATCTCCACCGTCCACTCGTCCATCGCTCGCGTGAAGTCCCTGCTCCTAAGCCGCTACGTCAACTGCGGCGACGACTTCAACGGGGCGCCGAAAGACCGGCTCACGGAGTTCCTTACCCTTCACGGCCCTTCCGGTTCGCGGCGCGTCACCGTTGAGGGCGTTTACTCGGACGGTCGCCCGCGGCGCTTCAGCTTCATCCTGCACATGAAGGACATCGGCTATCCGGGCGAGGGAAAGCACGATGACTGCGTCACGCTGTGCATGGCAATGGCGGAGGGCATGGCCAACAATTTGGAGGAGCGGCTGGGTGACTTGAAGCAGTTGAGTGGCGTCATGCTGTTTTGTGCCGACCAGTGGCCGTTGCTATGGGCACGTGCGGCCAGGATCAAGCAGTGCATTGAGTGGTTCCATTCCCTTGTACTTCTGTACCACGCGGAGGGAGCTGAAGAGGTCTTACCAGGTAAGGGTTTAGCTCAATTGAAATGGTCTTTTGTGTCATCAAGTTCTTTACTTGTCTAACACTTGCTTTACTTCCCCTTGCCATGTTGACAGGCATTGACACGCAAGCAGCCGTGAAGGAGATTCCCCACTTCACCCCCGTCATTGCAGCGCTGCCGCAGGGCGAGAAGGGATTCTTCACAGGATTGTCGACCATCCTGAAGACACCGGACTGGGAGCATAGCTATGTCAGAAACCCAGTCACTAACCACTGGGTTAAAAGGGCTTGTTGAATAGCGGGTAAATGCGCCCATAGCCCCCCAGGCTCTGCACCTGTGGCCCTTCCCCGAGGATCTCAAGGGTAACCCCAGCGGGTCACTCAACACCCCCCCCCCCCGCTGGGATAGGTGGAAGACAGAAGCGCCTCTGCAGCGCTGGCACTGGGAGTTGAACCCAATACCTTTGGCTCTAATGTACCATGTCAGAAACCCAGTTACTAACCACTGGGTTAAAAGGGCTTGTTGAATAGCGGGTAAGTGCGCCCATAGCCCCCCAGGCTCTGCACCTGTGGCCCTTCCCCGAGGATCTCAAGGGTAACCCCAGCGGGTCACTCAACAAGCTACCCCAACCTTGTAAAGCTGTGGTGTGCAACGGCGGTTCTTCCTTTGAGTACAGTGGAGTGCGAGCGCGGGTTCTCCCGCCAGAATGTCATAAAAAGCTGGCTGCGTGGCACCTTGAAGGACTCTCGCCTAGGAGATTTAATGTGCATGACTTTGTTAGATTACGAGCCGAACTGGGACGCCGTGATAGAGATCTGGAGATCTTACAAGAAGAGAAAGCCCTATAGCTGCGCCCCACAGAGCAGGGCTCAGAAGAGCTGCAAGGGAAAGGAACTAGCTGAAGACGTGCTTGGAGAAAACCATGATAGTAGAGCTGAGGAGGATGAGGAGGAGGATGCTTAAGTAGATATATATTTTATGCTTGTTTCAATAAATTGCTAGTGTTCATGTTCAGCGCCTTTCTAACGTGCAACCCTGTTAGTTCAGGATATTTTTTTTAGCCAACTCTGTCAGCTCAGCAAAAAAAAATTATGTACTCCTGAAAAATCAGGGAAGAAGGAGGGGGGGGACCCTGAGCAATCAGGGTACCTTAAAACCAATCTGAGGCCCTGGTCGGAGTGAAGACGCAAAACAGGGAGACTGCGGTGCACAAGCGCAGAGACCAGCCACGGGACAAGGGCGGCACGTCGGCTTTCCGCTCCAGGGGGAAACATGGTGGTGTAACGAGAGTATTCTCCCAAGCTTTGCACCTGTGGTTTATCCCGAGAAACTTAAGCGTAATCCCAGCAAATTACTCTACATGCGTGAAGGTGCTGTAGCAAGATTTAGTTAAGCCTTCTTACATAGCCTAATCAACTTTTGTATGCCTAGATATTGTTCTAGAAAAGAGATTTTAACTTAACCATACATTTTCTTTGCCATCATTCTACCATTGAGGAGCAACTTTCTTCAAGTTTGCCGCTCCAGCAATGACATGTTCTACCAGTTCTGAATAATTTCCACTCAGGAAAATGTACAGATTCTGACATCTACATACTTCCGTGCAGAATTACGTACCTACATCACCATTTTCCTTTGTGTAGTAAAATTTTACCAGGGCTTATAGATTACATGAAGGCCTGAGAAGGCCCTCCCATGAAACGTTTCGAATTCATAACCTACAATCAACTCAGCCAGCAGAGGAAGACCCTCTACGTCGACCACTTGAGTTACACCTCGACAAGATCCTTCACAAGGTACTCCACACCAGCGTACTCCCTCTCGGACGGCAGGGACTTACCCTGGTACGTCGTGTACTTGCAGTCAGGCTCCAAGACGGAAGACGTCTCGTAGTCCGTTGGCTCGCCGTCAAGGAATCCCTTGCCAGTGACGCCGTCAGCGGCCACTGGGTGGTGCAGGAGCTGAGCAAGCGCCGAGTAATCCAGAGCCCGCTGGCCGCGACCGTTGCGGTAAGTTTGACCCATAACGCCATGGATCGTCTCCGTGGGAGTGACCCCTTGGAACTGCACGTTCAGGTGGGTCTCGGCATCCTCGTCCGTCTGAAGCAGCGGGTGAGCGATGCGAGCGCGGACGTTCAGCGAGATCCGTCCGTCGACGTTGACGTTGTACTCGTCGACATCGAACGGGCCGGACTTGGCGTAGCCGGTGAACGTGATCGCGAGACCGCCGGCAAGATTCTTAGTCTCCCCGACCTGCATCTTGGGAATCACCTCGCCGTCCAGCTCGATGCGATCGACGAACCCGTCCTCGCGCTCCTGATCCTTGCCCTTGCGCGCTACCATCAGGAGCTTATGCTCGTCACCGCCCGTCACGGCGCGCCAAATTACAGCGAGCTCGCGGATCCAGGTGCGGACCGCCATGCCATTGACGAGTACCGAGGCGCCGATGGTGCGTTTGTCGTAGTACCCGTGCATCTTCATGTTGACCTGCACGTTCTCCTCCGTCAGCAGGCAGAAGGACTTGTCGGGCGAGCCGTTGAACTCGAAGCGCGTGCCGTGCGCGCCGAGGAAGTGCGGGTCGTTCTTGGTGAAGGGGCAGGCCTTGCCGATGCGCGCGCACGAGAGGGTTCCGTTGCACGATGGGATGGTGCCGGAGGGAAAGAGGATGCACTTGCCGCACAGCGCATCCGTACAGCTTCCACCGCTGCGGAGGAGGATCGAAAAGCCAAGAAACAAGAAATATGACAATCCCCGTCGGGAGAGATCGTTAGTCATGCGTGACCTTAGGAGGGAGAGACAGACAGGGGACGCGGAGGCGGACGTAGTCGAAGGAGCGCGATGGACGCGGGACTTACGGGCCAACGGCGACGTGCATCCAGAAGGCGCAGCTGAATGCAGTAGACACGGATCCAGCCGTGAGATTGGCGCATTTATTGCAGCACGTCTGGGGCTTCACGGACGCGCCTCCGCAGAAGGGCTTGTTAGGACTGGTGGGGTAGGTGGTGGAGCAGTTGACAACGGGGACGACGTATTTCCCGAGTATACCGGCGGTGTTGTTGCACATGCCTTGCGAACATAGACCATACAGCGGTGGGCAGTCTTTCACGCAGGTGGCGGACGCTAGGGAGGCGCAGGCCAAGCCAATGAGAGCAGCGAGCAGCAACGAGCCCCGCCGGAACTCCATGACGGCAACGACAGCGAAAAAGCAAGACTTAGAACCTAAGTGTTAGACTGCGGGATGAGGGGAATAGGGCTCGAAGTAGATGGACACTGCTAGGTGAGGAGTTACAAACTAAACCCTAGCTGAGAACGCGAGTAAGGAGAGATGTGAAAGGATGGTGAAGTGTTTCTGCATTGCTAGAGGCGCAAGAAAGCAGTTTTGACATCGGAGTGGTTTGGTGTGGTGGTCGGGTGGTACGAGTGACAGGTTCGAGAAAACGATCTGTGTTGCACTGTTCAGGGGCTGTGCCTGGCTCGGGGACTAGAGGTAACGACAAACATGGTTGTACACCTGACCTGACGTCCAAGAAAGCTGCTGGCCGTTTCATTGCTTGGACATCTGCTGAATCCACCTTGTCGCATGCGATTTCCGTGCGAGTCACAGGCATTTCGCACGAGTCACGAAACTCTAGGGTTTCATGGAGCCATGAGTCGTTTGGTTCAAGGAGATGCCTGGGACTGCATGGTCGGACAGAAAGGCAGGACGTTTTTTTCTTCTGCCCTGACGTCAGCCCTTGCTCATTCGTTCAGTTCCCTGAATTTCCACATGCTCACATTACACAAGCTACTTCAGCAGTGACGACAGCCAAACCGAGTCGCAGGTGTTGTTGCACAAACCCGACAAACGTCGGGGCGAAGAATCTAAAAACAGGCGGACACCTGCGGTATTGCGGGAGGAGACTTCGATGGGCGAACAAGAAGCACAGCTGCGGCCCTGAATTGCGCTTGATCAGAATGTTAACGCGGATAATTACGACACCTCCTGCCTTTTGTAGAATTAGAGCATACCATCATAACGAAAACATGACCCCATGATCGAAGAAATCCAAACCAGATATGAGATTGGTCAATCTTTGTGCAGATTGGTCAGTAGAAATATGAGATTCGTTTTGAATATTTTGCGTACATAAATATCGCATTATCACAAACTGCATGTGTAGTTAGCTGGTTTGATACTAATTGCCAAATACAAAATATATTTAGTACTTGAAGAGTGTAAGGGTTGATGTAAAGGAGGTGTGCATGAGAATATGTAGCCACTGCAGTAAGTCGACTGTGCTCTCCCCAAAAATCCAGGGCATGAAAGTCGTCATCAGCCGTGGACCTCGTTGCCTCCGAAAACCTTATCCACTACGTTTGGGCCACACAGCCGTTTTGTTCACACGGGCAGCTCAGCCAGGCGTGGCGTTAGCCCTTGATGACGTGGTTGCGCTGCTCAGAAACAGTTCAAAGGCACTGCTGACCCTGCTTTCGCTGACAACCAAGCGCATGAATAAATGTTTGGTCTCGCACAAATCCGTGTTCGCACAATGGCAGCCAACGACAGTCAGACCTTGCGACAGCATGAATGCAACTGTATAACATAATGAGGATAGGCAGATTTAGGCCAATGTTGCACCACCTTGAAAATATTTTCCCGGAGTGGAGAAGCAGGAAGCAGCCCAGATTTATGTCGTGTACAGTATTTGGATCAGCGAATCCAGCATCAATCGCGGCTCGATCACTTTCACTTGCACTGCACCTCCATCGCGGCTTCGTTCATCTCACCCCTGCCATACATTTCCCCGAGGGCGCGGCTCAGAGGATGATAAATCAAATCCCCCTACGTGTAGTAGTCACTGCCCTATGCACCCCTCGCTCTGGGCGCAAGGCAAAGGAGCTGTGGTTGCCTTGCCAAGTCCAATCTGGGCTGGCCGTGATCATTTCGGGCCAATCCTGGAAGCGGATCGGACAGGGGGTTTGTTCGGGCAGGTCAGATGATGCAGGAAGGAAATACTTCAAGTCTACTACTGTACGCGATCGACTGCGGTTGCTCGACTGCAGGGAGGGGAGGGAGACTAGTGGTGTTCAAATGCGCCGAGGCCCATGCAGCAGGGACACCAGGGAGCAACACGAAAATGCCGCTCGCTCACTCTCCCCCCTCGTTCACCTATTTCTCCGCCATGGTGACGCGATATCGGAGTGTGTGACGTGGCGAGGTCCGTCGGGGGGGTGGCAATCAGCCAGTCTAGGGACGGCGGGAAGCGGAAAACAAGTGAAGCCACGTGTGTCCTCCGACCAGGGATTTACTCATTTCTGACCACATACAGTATCCCTCTCTGCCCGCCACTGGCTTGATTGCCCGACATGCGTTGAGCGAGAAGCCAAAATGCCTCGTTAGAGCGACCGAACGGAACGGAATCGAAGGCAAGAGAGAGCGCCTTCTTCTACTCTCGCTCTCATATTTCGCATCTCATATGGGTATATCCATCGGCAATGAATCTGTGCGACGCGACGGACACGCATCACACCATAGCAGTCCCCCTCCAGGCAGTGGGCTGGGCAGCGGGCACTGGGCGCCTCACATCCGAGCCGAGTAGTAGTAGATCGAGAGGAGGAGAGCGAGGGGAGCCGCAGTGAGGGAGGGCCGAGGAGAGGCGAGTCGTCGAAGCGCCGAAAAGTGGATAAGGTTCCTCAGGGGGGTCTATCGATCGAGGTGGAGAATAGGCCAGGACGACGACTCCGAGCTGAGTCGTCTTGGGAGCACTGCATATTCCAGAAAGGCTTTTTGCCTCAGCGAATGCCAGCGTGTTCTGTTGAAGGCTTCAAGAGATTCGCTGCATGCCGCGTGCTTCGAGGCTCTCTAACCTGGTTGTTATCCTCCCACAACGAGTCGTAACAGTATTAGTACCCGAGGCCCCACTTAGCGTACAGACGGCTTAGTAGTATCGTTTTCACAGGTCCAGCTGAAGTGCTTCTCTTCCGCGCTAATAGCACGGCGAGTTCGCACCACGTTGACGATCTAATCGGCGCCCTCGCACGTATAACAGCAGAACCTCCTCCTAATACTAGTAGGTTCGGATCAAAGTCACCGTGACTCACCAACACTCCCTCTCACCAGGACACACCAACACTCCATCGCGATCGCGTCGCTTCGGTGGCTTGACTCACGCACTCACTCCGGCACAGTCCACTCTCAGAGTCTAATACATCAACCGAGTCGGCCCCACAGCGGCACCGTCAACCGGCGCTCTCCAGTCAAACTCACCGATCGAGACGCTCCGAGTCGAAGCCCTGATCAAACTCTCGAGTGCATGTCGCCCGGTACGACAGCTCTCGCCATGGCGCGCCTTCCCGCCGCCGCTCCCGCTGACCGCTACGACATCTATCGTGGGAGGTCATGGGAAGGACCGCCGGGAGTGGCGGCTCCAGGTTCCGCCTGGGTCAACGTCCCCGCCACTTGCGGCGGGAACGGCAACGGTGACGGCAACGGTGACGGCAACGGCAAGGCGTTTTTTAATCCAGCGGACGGCGAGGGCAGCGAGGGGCGCGGAGGCAGCGGCGACGGAGCCGCCGGCAGCGGCGTCACGAACGCCGCGACCGTCGCCATGGTAGCGTCGACGCGATCGGCGGTGGAAGAGCCGTGGGGATCGTCGCCGCGATCGGCGCTCCGATCGTGCGGCGGTAACGCCGCGCCGCGAGGGATGGAGCGCCGGTGCGGCGGGGCGGTTCCAGCTGAGACAGGGATGGCGAGCAATGCGGCGGGAAATGCGGCGGGAAATGCGGCGGTGGAGGGTAGCGAGGAGGACGAGTGGATGTGCATGGATGTGGCGAGGGAGTGGGAGGGCGAGGTCGTCGCAGCGGCGCATTCTCATCCCACGGCTGCTGCGCCTGCGATCATGGGAGCACTGTCGCCTGCGATGGCCGCCGCGTCGCCTGCGACGACGGTGACTCTGTCTCCAGCAGCTGCTGCGGGTGCTGCGACGGTTGCGAGCGGCGTCTTCTCTGGAGGCGAATCGGATTGGCGGGGGGATGGCTCAGAGCCGTGCGCACGTGCGGGCGCAGATCCAAGCAGCGGCATGGGCATGGGCAAGGGCGCGAGCGCGACCGTGTGGGGAGCGGAAGGCGATTGCGCGGAGGCTCGGTATGGGGGGGAAATGGGCTGCGCATCGGGGGTGGGCGGGAGCGGGAGCCGCCGATGGCAAAGGGCGGTGCTGCAAGAAGCGACGGCAAGCCAAGGCGGGAGCTATGTGCCGTGCATGGAGGGGGGGGAGGACGCGCGGGAGGATAGGAGGCAGAGGCGCATGGTGAGCAACCGGGAGTCGGCTCGGCGGTCGAGACTGCGCAAGCAAACTCACGTGGAGGCCATGAAGCTCAAGGTACGTGGAGGCCGAACCCCCTCTCCTTCCATTCTTCCTTCCCTCCCTCCCTCCCTCCCTCCCTCCCTCCCTCCCTCCGCCCCTCCCCCTCTCCTTTCATTGCCCCTCTAACAAGCTTGCAGCACACATCTGACCCACAACCCACTGACTCCGCCGCTGCTCTCCCTTCCCCGTGTGTCCTCCATGCAGGCGGCCCAGGTGCGGTCTGAGAACACAGATATGGGAGCGCGCCTCACAGCAGCGTCGGAGAATCTCAACCAGGTCGCGCGCGAGAACCGCCTGCTGCGCTCACAAGCCACCGACCTCTCGCGCCGCCTGCAGCGCCTGCAGCACCAGATCGCTGCAGCGCAGCACTCGCACGCCCAAGCCCTCTCCCACTCGCACTCGCACTCGCGCGCCCAGCCGTACTCGCACGCTCTCTCCCACCCGCACTTGCTCACATCCCATCCATTCTCTTCATCCGTGTATGACTCTCCAGCTGCTATTGCTGCAGCAGCTGCTGCTGCCTCGGCAATCCATTATGGCAGCATGGATGATCGGCTTGGCTTGCTAGAATCTCCAAGGATGGGCGTTCATGGGGGCATGTTCTCCCAGGCCTCGCTAGGCCGTGGACTAGGCTCTGGCCTCGGCAGCATGGGAGTGCTCAGCAGTCTAGGAGCCGCACCTAGCTTGCGGGGATTTGGTGCTCCAGGAGGGCTCGATGTGCATATGGGTGGCGCTGTGGCCGAATCAGGCCATGCCTTTGCTTCCAAGGCCTCAGCCATCTCAACAGGGATGGATTCAGCTGCAGCTGCTGCCAGTGCAGCAGCAGCAGCAGCAGCAGCTCACTGCAGGGCACAGTACGGCTTAGGCTCGGTGCCAGGATATGCGACCGACATACAATCTCCCACCTTTGATCCGTACGCATCGTTTCCAGTTGCTGCTGGTGGGCTTGGTACAAGTGATGGCATGGTATACAAGAAACACCAAAGCCACTCTCGCATAGTGCCTGAAGATTCTTGCTTGAGCCTTGGCTTGTCCTTGCCCACTAACAACTACCTAGGGTATCGGTTATAGTGGAATATCATAGCTGACGGAAGATGCGGGATGCATCTGTATGTATGTGTCTCGTGTGTGGGTTTGTATACAAAATGAAGTGCTTGTGCTTTTGGGGTGTAGCAGCATGGATGAGTAGTTGTTGTGTGGAGTGGACCTTCCTTATGTTTGATCGGTTGGCCTTTGTAGTTGATGTGGTAAAATCGTACTTAAGCATTTCTGTAAGTAGTCCAGATGTTAAAGTCTGAACTGTCAAACATGTCTATGTGTTATGTTTGTATAGACTGTATAGGGTAGCCTCTTAGAGGGTACAACACTTAGCTATATTGTGTGTACTCTCACTGTATCACCAACACTTCACTTTCAGATATGGTATCACGCGTAGGTAGGATCCCCCCCCCCCCCCCCACCTACCGCTTCCGCTCGCCCCCCTAGCCCCGTCGCGACCCCCCCTAGACCCGTCGCGCCCCTCCCTGGGCCCCGTCGCGCTCCTTCCTGGGCCCCGTCGCGCCCCTTCCCAGGCCCCGTTGCGCCCCTCCCAGGCCCCGTCGCGCCCCTCCTGGGCTCTGTCGCGCCCCTCCTAGACCCCGTCGCGCCCCTCCTGGGACCCGTCGCGCCCCTCCTAGGACCCGTAGCGCCCCTCCTGGGTCCCGTCGCGCCCCTCCCATGCCCCGTAGCGCCCCTCCTGGGCTCCGTCGCGCCCCTCCTGGGCCCCGTCGCGCCCCTCCTGGGCCCCGTCGCGCCCCTCCCAGGCCCTGTAGCCCCCCTCCTGGGACCTGTCGCGCCCCTCCTGGGCCCCGTAGCGCCCCTCCTGGGCCCCGTCGCGCCCCTCCTGGGCCCCGTAGCGCCCCTCCTGGGCCCCGTCGCGCCCCTCCTGGGCCCCGTAGCGCCCCTCCTGGGCCTTGTCGCGCCCCTCCCAAACCCCGTTGCGCCCCTCCTGGGCCCCGTAGCGCCCCTCCTGGGCCCTGTCGCGCCCCTCCTGGGCCCCTGCAGCGCCCCTCCTGGGCCCCCCGTCACGGCCGCCCGGTCCTGTCGCACCAGCCCGGCCCCGTCGCCCACGCCCGGACCCGTCGCCCCGGCCCGGCCCTGTCGCACCAGCCCGGCCTTGTCGCGCCCGCCCGGCCCCGTCGCGCCCGCCCGGCCCCGTCGTCCTCGCCCGGCCCGGTCGCACCTGCCCGGCCCCGCTGCCCCGGCCTCGTCCTCCTCACTGGTACGGTTCCCCCCCACGCACCACCCTGTACTGCCCTACACCGCACTGCACCGCACTGCACCTCACTGCGTCGCACTGCACCGCACTGCACCGCACTGCACCGCACTGCACCGCCCTGCACCGCACTGCACCGCACTGCACCGCGCTGCACCGCACTGTACCGCACTGCACTGCACTGCACCGCCCTGCACCGCACTGGACTGTTCCTGATGGCGGCGGAGCTTCGCTTCGACGCTGAAGGTCAGCCCCTAGAGTTCGAGGCGTGGCCTGCCGACCTCCGCCGCCAACTCACTGGCCAGCGGCAGGATGGTGAACCGCTTTCCGCACACCTTGACGGTACGCTCCCCTGCCCAGACCCCCCTGCTGTTCTGCCCGCTGACTCAACACCCACTGAGCGCGAGTCTACTGCTGCCACTGCCCGTGCGCGCTCTGTCTGGCTTTCTCGCGATGCTGTCGCCCAGCTTGCCATTAGCAACGCCCTCCCCCCGTCCGAGCGTCCTCGCTTTAGGTCCCTCACTACTGCTCAGGCATACTTAGATGCTGTCATCAAGCGCTATCCACCCCTCCGGCTGCCTCGGTGGGTCGCCTGATCCTCCCGATGCTCTTTCCTGACCTTGCATCTTTCCCCACTGTCTCTGACCTCGCTGCCCACCTGCGCTCGATAGAGGAGACCTGGCGCGCCGCCTGCACTGACGCACAGCTTAGAGCCCACCAGCCGCCCATTACCTCTACCCTCTACCTGCTTGCCACCCGCCTCCCTGACCGCCTTGCTGTCGCCCGCGACCGCTTCCTTAGCCTTCACCCCGCCGACCTCACCCTCACTGACTTTGTAGACACCCTGACTGTGATAGAGACCCGTCACCGCTCCATCGCCCAGGCGAGCGGTGTCGTGCCGGTCCCTATGGCTCTGCCGCAGTGGCTGAGACTGCTGCTGCAGCGCAGGCCCGTTCTGGGAAGGGCCGCCGCCCCAAGGCTGGGCGCGGCGGAGGGGGCGGCGGGGGTGCGGGCGGGGGTAGTGGTGGGGTCGGGACGCCAGGTGCTGGAGCGGACGAGGGGACCCTGCCCAGTCCAGCTGAGTCGCCGCCCCTGCATTTGCAGCAGCCGCAGCCGCCGCCGCAATCGCAGCCTTCGCAGCAGCCGCAGCAGCCGTTGCAGACGCGGCAGACGAGTGTCCTCCCGCCAGGGTGGCCCGGCGCTGGCGGTGGACGGGCGCGTGGTGGTGTGCCGCGTGGTGGCTCTGCCGGCGGGCGTTGTCAGTACCAGATCCAGACCGGTCCTCGCCGCGGATTCGTTTGCGGTAAGATCGGTCACTCCACTCCCCGCTGTTTTCGTCGCCTGGACGACCTCTTTCGTCAGCGTTTCGGCCCGTCGCCAGACCTCCCGGACTGGCACAGTTTGCTTAGTCGTCAGATTCAGATCTTTGATATGGACATGGATGCCATTGTTTCTGCTCTGCATGTGATGTATGCTGATGACTCTAGTGTGCTTCCGACTTATTACTCACTGTTGCCTAGTGTAGGTGTGCCTAGCTTAGCCTCCCCTGCTGCGTCAGGCGTAGGATCCCCTGCTTTGTGTAGTCTTGGTGCTTCTGCCGTCGTTCCGTCGCCAGACCCCTCGGCTTCGCTTTCCTTCACCTTGGACTCTGGCGCCTCTCGGTGTTTCTTCCGCGACTCCACCACCCTGACGCCGCTTCCTGTTCCTGCTGCCGTTTCTCTTGCTGACCCCTCCGGCGGTCCGGTAGTCGCCCGCAGTTCCACCACCCTTCCCTGTCCGGCGGTTCCTTCGGGCTCTCTTATAGGTCTGCATATCCCCTCGTTCTCCAGGAACCTAGTTGGTGTCGGCTGCCTCCAGGACCTTGGCGTCACCACTACGTTCCCTGGTCACGAGCGGTATGCTGTCTGTACCGAGGCCGCCACTGGTGCCCCCCTGTCCACGTTCCCCCGGGACCCGGTGTCCGGCCTGTTCACTCTGGACACCGTGCCCCCCCCCGGCTGGAGCGCCCCCTCCGGTGGCTGTGTCTACCCAGGTTGCTGCTGCCTGCTCCTGTCGCTCCCTCACTCACCCGACCCTCCTGTGGCACCACCGCCTAGGTCACCCTGCGCTCCCGCGTCTGCGTCACATGTCCCAGCACGGTCTTGTCCTTGGTCTCCCAGGTTCACTCCCCGCGTTTCCCTCCTCCCCAGCCCCACCTTGCACGCCTTGTGTCGAGGGTCGGCTTCGCCGTGCCCCTCACTCCTCCTCGTTCCCCCCTACCGCCGCGCCGCTGCAGACCCTGCACCTGGACGTCTGGGGCCCCGCCCCCGTCCCTGGGCCGCGTCGCGAGCGCTACTTCCTTGTGCTTGTCGACGTCTTCACTCGTTACACCACAGTCTTTCCCCTGGAGCGCAAGGCCGACGTGCCTGGCGCTCTCATCCCCTGGCTTGTCTCTGCGCGTGTCCACCGCGGTCTCCCTGTCTTGCGTCTTCACTCAGACCGTGGTGGCGAGTTTGCCTCAGGTGTCCTTGGTCGCTTTTGTCGTGCGGAGGGCATCACCCAGACGTTCACCCTACCGGACTCCCCACAGCAGAATGGGGTCGCTGAGCGACGCATCGGTTTGGTCATGGAGGTCGCTCGCACCTCCATGGTCCATGCCGGTGCACCCCATTTTCTGTGGCCGTTCGCTGTGCGCTACGTTTCTCACCAGCTTAACCTGTGGCCGCACCCCCAGCAGCCGCAGGTTTCGCCGACCCGTCTGTGGACCGGGTCTCCTGGTGACGCGTCTGCGTTCCACGTCTGGGGCTGCCTTGCTCACGTCCGTGCCTCCGGCACGGACAAGCTCACTGCCCGCACCCTTCCCTGCGTCTTCCTCGGTTTTCCCCTTGACGCGTCCGACTGGCACTTTTACCACCCGCCGTCTCACCGCTTCTTTCACTCTCGTGACGTCACCTTTGACGAGTCCGTCTCCTACTACCGCCGCTTCCCCCACCGTGGTCCCCCGGTTACCCCCCCCCTGTTCCTGGTCACCCCTTCCCCGGTAGTCCCTGCCCCTCCTCCTCCTCCTCCCTGTCCCGCCCCCTCTGGTGTCTCCCACGTCACCCCCCTTCCGTCCGTGGACCCGGTTGAGGAGTCTTCTGACTCTGGTGGCCCTCCGGTGCAGTCCTCGCCGGCAGCCTCTCCCCAGGTGTCCCCTCCCCTGTCCCCTCCTCCGCCGCCCCTGCCGCCGCTGCAGCCGTCGCCGTCGCCGCCGCCGCCGCCGTCGCAGCCCCCGTTCGCTGACTCTGGGGGTGCTCGTCCCGGTCGCCCTGAGGGTGGTCCCTCTGGGGGTGCGGGTGTGGAGAGTGCCGGTGGTAGCCGAGGAGCAGCTTGCGGTCCAGGTGTCGCCGTTGTGCCACCACAGCAGCAGTCCCCGCCGGTGTCAGCCCTTCGCCTGCTCGGCCTTCCGTCCCCCGACCCTGCGCCGGTTCCTCCCCGACCGTCTCCTCCTCTTCTTGTCTACGGCCCTGCTTTCCCTCCGCCGGACTCGTCCCCGGCCCGTCTTCCCCCTCGTTCCCCTCCTGTGTCCCCTCCCCTGTCTCCTGACCTGACTCCTCCCTCGCACGTCTGGTCTCACCGTCCCTCCCGTGCTCGTCCTGCCTCGCCTGTCCTGCGCTCCCACCCTATGTTGCTTCGTTCACACGCGTCTCGTCCTCCCCTTCTGCCGTCGCCTCCTTCGTCCTCCCTTGTTGTTGCGCCCCCCCCGCTATCCAACTACCTTCGTGCCGCTCGTCCTCTCGTTCCTCGGGTCCTTGCCTCTCTCGTTACCGACCCGTCTATTCCAGTCTCGTGCCTTGACGCCCTTGTCGCTGCTGTCGCTGACTTCGCCTCTACCCGCCGTCTTGACTACGCCACCGCTCTGGTCTCTGACCCTGCCTGTCCTCCGTCTGTCGGGGGTGCTCCTGCCCTTGGCAGTGACGTCCTGGAGGACCGCCAGTTCGAGCTTGCTTTCCTCTCCGAGGCTGCT